GATATTGGCATACATTTAAATGTAGTGGAAATTTTTTTTAGTCCTCCCAGAGGCCTTACAACCTTCACACCAACACATACAATCCAGGATGAAGGGTCATTCAAACTTGAGCTATGAACCAAATCTCAGACCAAATTAATCTATCAATCGAGGCTAACTCCACCTCAACTGTATCAACTGCCAAAAGCATCATTAGAATTGATTGTTAAACAGTTGGTGATATCCTAAGAGAAGTTTCAGAATAGAACTGAAACCACTTTCAAGAGCTTGAAAAATAAATGAGTTAATTGGCTAAAACTTTGAGGCGATATCACAAGATAAGTTACCATCGCAAACTAAGCCGAATCCAAGAGAGAATGTTTATGCCATCACCCTCCGGAGTGGTATTGTTATCATGCCTGAGATCCCAGAGAAAGGTGATGCCTAATCATAGAAGAAGAATAAAGATGAAACGCCACCTTCTTCCACTCAATCTCCTTCCAAATCATCTCATACGCCATCCCAATATGAAGTTCCACCTCTTTTTCCATCAAGGTTAATGAAATGAGATAAGCAAGATGAAGAGAATAAAATTCTTGATGTGTTTCGGAAAGTGGAAATAAACATTTTGCTTCTTAAGGTGATTCAAATGTGTCGAGGTATGTCAAATACCTTAAAGATATTTACACTAATAAAAGGTGACTTACCGAAAACGAAAAGGTAAATTTAGGCGAGAATGTCTCAGTAGTTTTCCAACGATGGCTTCCACCAAAGTATAAGGACCAAGGTATGTTTGCAATACCTTATAATATTTGTGAGGTTAAAATCAAGCAAGCTATGTATGATTTAGATGCCTCTATTAATATAATGTCTCTCTCCATCTATAGTTTAATTTTCACCGAGCCTTTGAAGGAGACGAGAATTACAATTCAGCTCGCTGACTGATCGGTTATCTATCCCAAAGAACTCCTAGAAAATGTTATGGTAAAGATAAACGACTTAATTTTTCTAGCTGAATTTTATGTTATTGATATGGAAAATGATCGTAGCAGAACTGGTTCTGAAATTCTTCTCGATCGTCCCTTTTTTAGCACGACACATGCAAAAATTGATGTTCAAAGTGATATTCTTACCATGGAGTTCAACGATGAGGTCATAAAATTTTATGTATACAAAGCAATGAGATATCCTGATTACGTTGAAAGTATAAATTTTACTGATGTTATTAAACCTATCATTGATAAGAAATCTAATTTCTCCAATGATTTGTACAGGAAATTGAAGGATAAAAAAGATGAATCAAGGGAGTTAAAAAGTACTCCATTTGTTGATTCATATTTGTGTTTAACTCCCTTAAAAACTAAGTTGTTCCCTTTCGCTTTACAAGCACCAAAAATAAAGTCGAAAACATCGTGGGAACGTTTGAAGAGCTTAATTTTTGCAAAGACAATGTGTTGAGAAATATCCGAAGAAATACTTATGAGAATGTTTGGATTTCTCATAAGGAATTTCTTAGTTGGAAAATACGTATGAAATAAAAGTGTCTCTCGTTGAACTTGTAGTCTGAATCAGGTCGTCGAGCTAAACGACATTAAACAAAAGCGCTTTAATGGGAGGCAACCCATTTTTATTTTTCGTTTGCTTAATTTTTATTTTATTTTTAGTTTAATTTTATTTATTTTTATTGTAGATTTATTTTTCTTTGAAGTTTTATGTACCTCAAATATTTTTTATCGAACTTCAATGAACAAATATGGAGCAAGTTTTGGCATTTTTAATCAAACAGCGAAGAATTCTCGAGATTAGGAAAACGAAGAGTCGCACAAGCAAAAAAATCAACCCACCCTTTTTCTATACTCACCGTTTCATTAGTTCCCAATAGGGTTGTAAAATCGGGTAATCGTTCAGGTTTCAGTCGGATCCTGGCAGGTCGGATAAAATCGGATATATGTCAAGTCAGGTAAATTTGACATTAGATCCAGATTGGGTTCAGGTCAGGTCAAATCAGTTTGGGTTATTTTCAGGTTGATTTGACACCAAATCCATATCGGGTTCAGGTCATGTCATTTTCAGTTAGGATCGTTGCCAGTTCAGGTCAAAACAATTCAGGTCCGAAGCAGTTAAAAAGAAGGTTAATTCAGGTTCGGATAGACTTCAGGCGGATCTCGTTCAGATCGGGTCACATCATTGGCAGATAAAATTCAGGTCGGATCTCTATCAGATACAAATTGAGTTCAAATCGGGTTATTTTTTATTTTTGGATTAATTATTTTTGTCTTTCGCGAACGTTGAATTGCAATTTGTAATTGTATATGATTTAGAGTAAATTACTAAGAATATAAATAATCATGGTTCAATTTTATGAAAAATACAAATTTAATAATTAAATTGAACAAATATGAAATTACAAATAAAAATTTAAATAAATTAAACAACACACATTGATGAGGGATCAAATCGAAATAATTTTAAATTGTGAGGTTGAAATTAATACAAAAAAGTACTAAACTATACCCATTTAAAAAGTTATGGGCCAATTAAAAAAATATAATTAAGTAATAAGCATGGATCAATTTCATATGCAAATAAAATTTGGAGGACTAAATTGAACAAATATGAAATTACAAATAAAAATTTAAATAAATTAAACAACACACTTTGATGAGGGATCAAATCGAAATAATTTTAAATTGTGATGTTAAAATTAATACAAAAAAGTACTAAATTATACACATTTTAAAAGTTATGGGTCAATTTAAAAATAGAAATAAGTAATAAGTATGGGTCAATTTCAGATGCAAATAAAATTTGGAGGACTAAATTGAACAAATATGAAATTAAAAATAAAAATTTAAATATATTAAACAACACAAAAGGGATCAAATCAAAATAATTTTAAATTTTGAGGTTAAAATTAATACAAAAAAAGTATTAAATTATAGTCATTTAAAAAGTTATGAGCCAATTTAAAAATATAAATAAGTAATAAGTATGGGTCAATTTCAGGTGCAAATAAAATTTGGAGGACTAAATTGAACAAATATGAAATTACAAATAAAAATTTAAATATATAAAACAACACAAAAGGGATCGAATCGAAATAATTTTAAATTTTGAGGTTGAAATTAATACAAAAATATTCTAAATTATACTCATTTAAAAAGTTATGGACCAATTAATAAATAGAAATAAGTAACAAGTTGAGAAAAAAAAATTAAAACAACTAATATATATATATATATATATAATATAAACTATATAGTTTATATATAAAGTATATGTATCATATATATAAACTATATAGTTTATATATATATTATGTATAAAGTATAAACTATATATACCATGTATAAACTATAATACTATATAGTTTATATATGAACTATTGAACTATATAGAAACTACATAGTTTATATATAAATTATATATGAATTATATATAAACTATACAATTTATATTTATATATTATGTATAATTATAAATAATATATATTGTATAAATTATATAGTTTATTAATATAAACTATATTATATATATATATATATCATGGTTTTAGGGTTTATGTTTTAGGGTTTAGGGTTTATGTTTTATGGTTTAGGGTTTAGGATTTAGGGTTTAAGGTTTATATTTATATTTATATTTATATAAACTACATACTATAATTTATATTTATATACTATATTTTATACTATTTATAAACTATAGTTTATATTTATATACTTTATATATGAACTATATATATAAATATGTATATACTAAGGTTGATATTTATATATGAACTATAGTTTACATGTAAACTATATAGTTTACATATAAACTATAGTTAATATTTACATATGAACTATAGTTTACATATGAACTATATATATAAACTATATAGTTTACATATGACCTATATATATATATATATATATACTATAGTTGATATTTATATACTATATAGTTTACATATGACCTATATATATATACTATAGTTTATATTCATATACTATATATTATATATATAAACTATATATACTATATAGTATAATTTACATATGAACTACATATAAAAATCCTAAACCCTAAACTATACATTATATAGTTTATTAGTATATATAAACTATATAACATATGTAGACTATATCGTATATATAAACTATACATTATATATAGTTCATTAGTATATATAAACTATATATTATATAGTTCATTAGTATATATAAACTATATAGTATATATAAACTATATATTATATAGTTCATTAGTATATATAACCTATATAGTATATGGTACATACAAACTATATATTATATATTTCATTATTATATATAAACTATATAGTATATATAAACTATATATTAATTGATTAATATAAACATATATATTAATTGAAAGAATTGGAAAATATATAAGGATCAAATTGAACAAATTTTAAATATGAAGCTTAAATTAATAAAAAGTAACATTAAATTTGATAGACTATATTTTATATTAATATTAATTATAAATTATAAACTAGATTATATTAATATAAGTTAATATTAATATTAATTATATTAATATTAATTATAATATATAATTATTTTAATATTAATTATAAATAATTTATTAATATAAATTTTATAGAAATGAAATTAAAAACATGCGCCAAAATTTACCATTTTCTCCCGCTTCTTCCCGGCCAAACCCTCCCTCCTTATTTTTGTCTCTCTTCTTCCCGCTCAACATCTAAAATCTCCCCCCTGTTTTCTCGTTTTCCAAGCTCTTAATTTTTTATTTGGCTAAAACAGATCAGTTAATGGTTTCAACCATGTTTGGAGACGATTCTTCGATGCCTTTGTCCCCGAGGCAACTCTCCTCCTTTCTGTTTGTTTCCATTCAAAATCAAATTATGTTTGTTGGGTCTTTCTAATTTAATGAAAATTTGATGAAAAATAACTGTTTTTCTGTCATGCCCAAAATCCCAAAGATGATTTCATGTCTTAAAAATCAGCTTTGATTGCAGGGTTTCCCAGATAGTGTGACTCCAGATTATGCCCTTTTCAAGTATGGGACTCGTTGCAGGTATAAGAAAAAGAAATATTGATGAACATTTGAGAACTGCTTAAGATCAATAATCCTTACTGAAGTTTCAATTTGTTCGGTTTACATTACATGTGTAGGGACTTTCGACGTATATAAGAACAATGCTTTCTACACAAGTGAGTGTCAAATCCAATTGATATTGAGCATCTTATGAGCTTTATGTGTTGATGATTTATGATATTTGGTTGTTGCTTACTTTAACTTCTTTCCCAGGCAATTCTGAGTGCTATTGGAGTTGGTGAGAAATCCGCCACTATTATCGGTGCAACTTTTCAGGTAGAATATCCAATGTACAATTCTATATAAATCGTTGCGGTATTATTATACTTGATCTGTGATAGTTGGGAGTTTTATGGAATCCTAATGAGTTGAATCCTTTAAGTTAGTTTAGGCCTTCTGATATTGAATTATGGTTATTGTAATTCTTTTAGTGGTTCTTGAGAGATCTGACGGGAATGCTTGGAGGCATATTATTCACCCTTTACCAGGTTTTCTCAACGAGACTTCATTGATTTTATGTTTCTTCTTTACCAAGCCCTCTTTTCAAGCTCTTGTTTAAAGTCTGACACCGTAATGGTTTTTGTATTAGGGCTCAAATCTTGATAGTAATGCTAAAATGTGGCGTTTGGTTGCAGATCTCATGAATGATTTAGGTATGTCGATGTTTCTTTTAGAGAAATTGTTTTGCAGTAATGACTGCAGATCTTTCTCTCTGAGTTTCTACATGTATGCATTTACATTAGTGCAAATACATGCCCATGGGCAGTGTAGCACAACACAAGTGTGGAAATTGCTCCAACTCTTCATTTTTCTTGAGGTATTCTTATCCGAGACGCTAGTCAGACACATATTTGGTCTTGTATGCTCAAATATACGAAAAAACTTGGAAAATAAACCGGACACCCGTGTTGGACATGTACTCATATCTGACACATACACAGTTCATCCAAGACCAAGTAACATAGCCTGTGATAATCAGTTGTTTTGGGTAATGGCTTTTACATTAGTTAGTCAAGCTATAAATCATGTATATAGGTGAATCGTATTAAGCTTTCCCTCTCTGTGATTGATGCCTCGATTTTCCTTTATTCTAAACTCTTGAACTTACAATGTACATGTTAGAATTTGGTTTTGGAATCCTTGTCATTCAAATCAGTTCTTCTGATTACTTATGTGGGTTCAGAAAGTATTTGTGATTTTATCATCTCCTAGATATTTTAACTTCAAATAACAGCTAGGGCTTCCATATTTTATTGCAGGAATGATGGCCTTGTATCTCTCTCTCTCTCTCACGCACACAAACACACACAGAGGTACATAAAAACACAAGGACTTCGTTGTTTTCTTTTAGTTTCTTCTCAACTTGATCATCTTTCTGTTGCAGATTCAGATATATTAAATTCCATGCACAGTTTCCGGCCATATTTTCTGTCTGCATCTAATGGCAGATTCAGATATATTAGATTCAGATATTGCTTGCTTCTACTTGATATTTGTAAGGGTTTAGTAAAGTCGGAAATGTTTGGCACTGTTGGCCATCGAATTCTCTAACTTTACCACTGATTGTATGCTTTCTTAATGTAGGATGCTTGCTGAATCGATGCAACGATGCTTGTTGAATTGGTATATTGATGCTTGTTGGTTGCTGTTGTCAATTACTCACTGATGCCTTGTAAATTATTGTTGTTGGTCTGATTTAAATAAATTTTTGAACCTTATAAATTCTTATCTAAATAGTTACTAATGTGGAATTATGTTGGTGATATTTTGACTTTTAAAGCTAGAAAGTTGCCTATAATTAAACATGTTGACAACATTTAGGTATAAAAGCTTGATAATGATATTTCTAGTAGTATAGTTAGGCTTTTTAGCCTTGTAAACATTAGTTATAAGATCTGAGATCATTTATTTCAACATAAATTTATTTTGTTTAGTTTATTTTATTGTAATTTTAATGTTTTCAAGTGTAATAAAATTACTTTCATTTATGATTTTTTAAATATTTGTAATGTTATTTAAGTTTTTAATCTTTAATAAGTCCATCATTTCAATTAATATATTTTGATTTTAAAATTTCAAGTTTACTTAAATTATTAATCAATTTTCACATTAAAAGTAAATTAGATTTATGAATATTTTAACTCAATTAATATAATTTAATAAAATCAACTTCAATAAGATAATATTTAAATCTAATTTAGTGATTATAAATAAAATTTATAATATAAGAAATATAAAGAATATTATGAATTGGGATTAACATAAAAACCAAATTTATAATATACAAATTATAATTAATATAAAATCTAAATTTCAAAGAGTAACCATATTAATTTAATTATCATAAGTTTATTATAAATTTAAAATAACATAATTATATTAATTGTAACTTTCCTTAAAAGTCAGGATAATATCAAATCACTTTAACATGTCAGATCATTTACAGATTGAGTCAATTACAGGTCAGGTTCATAACAGGTCAGGTTGAAAACAGGTCGGGTAATACCAGTTATTTACCAGGTCAATCTCGAGTTCGGGTTCATATCAGTCGGATGTAGTGCGGGTTCGGGTATCATATTTTCGGTTCAATTCGGGTTCAGGTCGTTCTCAGGTTGGATTCAGGTCGGGTTCAAATCCACAATTTCCAGGTCCAACTCGGGTTCAGGTCAACACCAGTTCCGACTCGAATCGGTTTCAGATCGCCACAACGCAGGTTAAAAACAGTTTTAACTCGAGTCGGTTTCAGTCAGTTTTACAGGTCGGGTAAGCTTTTTACACCCCTAGTTCCCAACAACATCATGTGCATTTTCAATCGGTACATGTTAGCAATTTCCAAGCCTAAATCTCCCGGGAATGTCTAAGGAATGGGGAATAATATAGGGCTAAGAAATTGAGGTTTAATAAGATACTTAACAAAGTCGGTTAAACACTACCGGAAATGTTGACTAATAATAATGTTGTAGGTGAAAAACATGAAGAAATATTAAAAAAAATTGGCAACAAGTTTTGCTTATCGGTAGGTATCGATACCGTGCACAAAATATCGATATTTATTGTAATATATAAGAAAGTGAAGAAAACCAGTTAAAAGTAGATATGTATCGATACCTTCATAAGTGTATGTATAAAAGTTTCGGTACTTTAGTAATTTAAAAGAATTGCTATAAAAGCGCCTATAAAATATCAATACCTTACACACATGTATCGATACATGACAATATATCAGGTTGTAATTTGACAAATTCGATTTTAATTTGACAAAACATGTAAAGAATTTGACAAAACCGATTGGAAATTGACAAAACCAGTTTCAATTTGAACAAACCGGTAAAGAGCTATCGGAATTGTTGAAATTTGTATCGATACATTTATATGTATAAAAGTTTTGGTACTTTAGTAAATTAAAAGAATTGAAATAAAAGCATCTATAAAGTATCGATACCTTACACACATGTATCGATACATGACAATATAACAAGTTGAAATTTGACAAAATCAATTTCAATTTGTCAAAACCGGTAAAGAGCTACCAGAATTGTTGATTTTTTTTTCGATACATTTATATGTATATGTACCAAAGTATTGGTACTTTAGGAATTTAAAAAGAAATGCAATAATAACGCCTATAAAGTATCGATACCTTAGACACATAGATCAATACATGACAATATAACATGTTAAAATTTGACAAAACCTGTTTCAATTTGACAAAACCGGTAAAGAGCTACCGCAATGGTTGAAATTTGTATCAATATTTTTATATGTATCAAAGTATTGGTACTTTAGAAATTTAAAAGAATTGCAATAATAACGCCTATAAAATATCTATACCTTAGACACATGTATCGATACATGACAATATATCAAGTTGAAATTTGACAAAACCAGTTTCAATTTGACAAAACTAGTAAAGTGCTACCGGAATTGTTGAAAGCATAGATACTTTTATATGTACCCTAGTATCGGTACTTTAGGTTAATTAACAATATAAATGGTAAAAGTATATTGGTATATTGATAATAGGCGTAAATACCAAGTAGCGATACTTTTATATAGGTATGAATACTTTTATTCCAGTATGTTTCTCAAACAATTTGCACGCAAAATGTATCGATACACATATATAAAGTATCGATACTTATAATTTCAAAACCTATTACTTTAAAGTAATATGTAAATTAACAATGTACAAGATAAACGTTTCTACCAGTATAATGAAAATAGGCGTAAATGCCCAAGTATAGATACTCATACATAAAGTATCAATACTTATAATTTCGAAACCAATTACTTTAAAGTAATAGGTAAATTAACAATGTACACGACAAATGTTTCTAATGGAATAATGAAAATATGCATAAATGTACAAGTATCGACACTGTCATATAAGTATCAATACTTATAATTTCGAAACCTATTACTTTAAAGTAATAGGTAAATTAACAATGTACACGATAATATGTTGATAATATTGAAAACAAATTAAGAATTAACCTATTTTGTTATCGTCGGATTTCGAAGGCCCCATCAGCTTTAAACATGCGCTACCTACTACATTAAAAAAACGTTACTTGTTATGCTATTATGGCTGATGATGTTTCCAGTAATGAACCTATGTTGTTATCATCAGATTTCTAAGAATCAACCAGCTTAAACTTTGGTAACATTTTAGGCGGTACCTAATATTTTGATAATATATATAACAAATTAAGTAATTAACCTATTTTGTTATCGTCTAATTTCTAAGGCCCCATCAGCTTTAAAAATAAGTTACATATTACGTTAAATAAGCGCTACCTATTATATTATTATGGTTGATAATGTTTCCAATAATTAACCGGTTATGTTATAGTAAAAAAAATTTGATGCATTTTACATACAACAATGATATTGCCGGTTATTACCATTATTATTACCAATATAAATAATATTTTCGGTAAAAATATATAACATTTACGATAACGCTTTTAACATGCACAACAACAAAACAGAGCTTTAGCGGCGTTTTTATTGTCCTATAGCGGCGTTTTTAAGCACCGCTAAAAGTAATCGCGGCAATAGAAAAAACGCCGCAAGAAGCGCCGGTAATACCAGCGCCGCTAAAGTTAGCGGCGTTTGATAACAAAAAACGCCGCAAAAGGTCAAGATATATAGCGACATTTTTGGAACAAACACCGCAAAAGGTCGAGATCTATAGCGGCGTTTTGGAACAAACGCCGCTAAAAGTCGAGATTTATAGCGGCGTTTTTGGAACAAATGCCACAAAAGGTCAGATCTATAGCGGCGTTTTTGGAACAAACGCCGCAAAAGGTCGAGATTTATAACGGCGTTTTTCTATACAAACGTCACTAATTACCTTTCATTAGTTAATATTAATTGATTTTGCATATTTAATTTCTGCTCTACAACACCTAAATTTAATATCATTTAGCTTTATCTAATTAACAACCATAAATTTTAATTAAGACACAAACTTGAAATCCATAACAACAAACTTGAAATCCATAACAAGAAACTTGAAATCCATAATAATAAATCAAAGTTTAAATTACGTAAAATATAATGTAATTCAACATTGTTAACTAGAATAAACAATAATAACACCTAAGATGGGAAAGAACAATTTGTAGTCTATACCACACAAACAGACCATTTACAACCATCACTAGTAATGAACTAGTGATAAAACTCAAAGTTCTCGTCATACAGAAAAGGGGAAAGAAGAAATGTGTTATATTTGGAGGCTGCCCACTACTGTACTCCTCAAGCTTAATCTTCAATTCATGGCCTATCAACCCTGCCATGTCCTAGAACAGGAAGTTTGACAAAAGTTAGTTGAATCAAATTGTATAATTTACATAGTTAGTCGAAAGCCTAAAATTATCGGTCACAGAAAACCTAGGGACATTAAATAAACCATTCACGTAGACAAATATGAGCACTTTGAAAGCAATGTTTAAAAGAAAGGAGCGCATAATTCATGGAACTGTTATGAACCTAGAAAAGGGTTGTACTTGTTCCTAATTAAGATAAACAACATATACAAAGGTTTGCTACCTTTGTTAATGGTGAATTTTCCACAAGAAGATAAAAGAAATCTTACAATTTTCTTGTTTTAATATAATATCAAATGAAAATTATGAAATACAAGCTACTTACCAAAATTAACTATAATTAATTATGATTATAAAAGATTAGGAAGTAAATAAAAAGTCAATACTCATCACTTGAAACATCGATTTCCATCTATATCTCGCTGAACCGTTTTGTTATTGATGCACATATATTTATTAATAAGAGCGATGGACAGAATGTATACACACTCTCTTCTGCGTTGAAATGCATATTTCTTTATTTTAATGAACCAATACACTATAAAAATACCTGAACAGTGGCTTTCAATGCAAAAGCTTTAAGTGTGAAAGGAAAGTAAGCAACAACCCTGCAAGTCAACAAAGAAATATAAGTTGAAAGGAAAACGTTATGATATTTTTATTCACAACTAATCAGTTGAAAAATGTCTTGACAACAATGAACAATATATATTTCGTTTATTAGATTGGTACAATAGCAAATCAAATGCAATGCATAAAGTAAACAAAAAAATAGATGCTAATGGAAGCGTAAAGAAATTACAGGAGGATTTCAATGTGACTTACATCACAA